GCCCGTCGGCCAGAGGAACGGCCACCGCCCTCGCGGCCGCCCGGCCGCAGATATGACCCGTCCGGTATGTACAGACATAAATTAAAATCTATCTTTATGGGACATATACAAATAAATAACTTATTTTGAAGCAAATGCTTTAAAGAGACTTCTGATCAAATGTGAAGACAGGGGGTGGGCGCACGGGCTGCCCGCCCTCCTGCAAAGGCTTCTGGTCGTGAAAGCGGATTGAAACCTGGGTTTTGAGCACGGGACGTGCTCCGGGGTCTGAGGCCCCAGCACCAAGCGGCTGCGTCGGGCATGACTGGGGCCCTCGGGGGCAGAGAGGTCTTTTCCTCTGCGCAAACGGCCCCCCGAAGACCCCGGCCACTGCCCAGCACGCAGAACGAGGACGCCCTTCTGGCCTCCTGGGAGGCCACGCACTGACCAAGCCAAGGCCAGCCTCTCCGCTGTGGCCAGTGTGGAGGTGCCAGCCACCAGCTCAGTGGCCACACCTGGCCACTGCCCAGGGCAGCAGTCCGGTTCTGCAGAATGGCCGCGGGCGTGGAGACCCCCTGTCCTGTGTCAGGTCGAGCCCAGCGGGTGTGGGGGCCCAAGATCCATGCACCCTGCCCGGAGGCCGTGGCCAACGGTGGGGGCCGGCAGCTCTGACTGCGGGGGGTTGGGGGGGTCTCATCTGGATCTGCCGCCCACTGCTGCAGAGTCGCCCCCATTCGGGTAGAAGGGCTGGCCCCTGGTGTGCTGAGGCCGGGTCTGGGGTGGCTGGCACACCCCCGGCCCCGAGGGTCCCCTGCAGGCACAGCCGACTGCCCCTGACCCCGAAAGGTGCGCAGCCGCGCTCACCTGCACCTGGGTCCCCGCCGAGGCTTGGCACCCAGAGACAGACGGGGGGGGGGGGCAGCTTCTGCAAACTGGAGGTGGGAGGGGGGAGGGAGCCCGGGGCGCGGCCGGGCGGCACCTGCCCCCGTCGGGGCTGCACAATGTCTGCAGCAGCTGCCCGGCCGGAAGGGGGGGGGCAGGTGCTGGCTGGGGGGGGCAGGTGCTGGCTGGGGAGGGCCGTGGCGAGGGTGGGCTAAGCTGGGGGCTTCTGAGAGTTTAGGAGGACCGCGGCTTCGCACACCCTCGAGGCACAGGCCTCCGTCCAGGAGAGAGAATACCAAGCAAGTGAAAATGCTTCACAGCA